AAAAGTGGCGACGGTGAAACTAGCGAGGGAAGCGAGAATCAGCACTGGGGCGGGTTGCATGGCCTGATCTGATCGGAGAAACAGAGAATTGGAATTTGGAATTTGGAATTTGGAGAAGAAGAGCGGAACAAGAAGAAGAGAAACAGAGAGCCGCCGGGTTCGTGGAAGCTAAGGGATTGCCATTGGAGTCAATAATTTCCAGTACGTTATTCAAACAGTCAACTCCTTTAATTATCTTGACTTTCAATTTTCTTTTAAAGTGGGCAACAAAACAAAAACAAAAAGAAGAAAAAAATTAATTATTTGGTCTTTGTTTTTGGTTGTTTTTAGATGTTTCTCTTGTATTCTTCAAATCATCATCAAGTTTGGCCAAGTCAAATGTTGCTTTTTAAGTCACTACTACCTATGTGGTGGGACCCACCTGGTATTTTCTAATTAAAAGAAAAACAAATTATATAATATCATAGAAAAATCTTGGAAAATCTAAAAACAATTTAACTTTGTTTATGTTTAGATCTAGTCAACATTGAATTAGGAGGAATAAACCCGAACATAACATAACTCAACATGTTATCAACTAATTGAGGCGACTAAAAAGTTACATGTTCAATTCAATTTAAAAAAACATAGAATTATGAAGTTCCTACATATTTTATCTTCTCCAAGCATGATAAAATATCTATTTCCATTTTTTTTTACTGATATCTACTTCGATATTTGTAAGGCTAATTGATTAATGTATTTCCACGTTTATGGTTATAGGTTTAAACAAATATGAAATGACGTAGCATTCTAATAAAACCCATCTAGGAGTAACTTAGAAAAGTCTACATATTCAGACAAATTATCATTTAATCATTATTTTATTTTTTAGACCCTGTATTGGTTTTATATTATTATTAGAATTGGGAAGCCTCTCCTAATATATTAAGCATCTTTTGGAGTTATTAAATACTCATTAACTTTTTAATGTAATTATTGTAGAGTGCAGTGGTTGTCAATTGAGCAAAAAGCGAATAAATTGCCCCAAATAATTTTAGTTGAAAGAATAAATAAATGCATAAATTATTAATTTGATAAGTTGCCCACAATACTCACCCAGAAGAGTAGTTTGTTTGACGACGCAAGCATACAATTTATTAATATATAAACACCATAGAATGAGATCTATATATATATAATGGAAAATGAGACCTATATTGAATTATTATACTCTTTAATTTGTAAGTAGTATGAGAAAAAGTCACACAATGACAAAAGCTTTTAATGGAAGAAAAGTAGTAAAAAAAATATATATCGAATTCTTTTCAGATGTTCAACCAAGAGCACTATTACAGTTTCAAGCGTAATTTACACGTACACGTCGAAATAAAATGTAAATGAAATTCTATTTTTAAAATTAGAAGTTAATTGAAAATCGAAACCTTACTAAGACAATAACATTTTGTAGTATCCCAAATATTTATTAAAAAAACCAAGCTTTTTTTTGTGAGATGCAAAAAATCAAGCTAATGTTATACCAAGTTGTTTGCAAAAACTTGTACCCTAAGGCAGGTAATGTAGTAGCAATTCATTTTTTGATATCGATCAAATAAAAGAAAGATCAAAACAATGGAATCTATATGACATCCGTATCACCTAAATTTACTAATTCAAAAGAACAGTCAAAAGAAAACCTTCAATTCTATACAAGTATTTGAATAAGAAAGAGGAATACCATTTTCGACTAATAATATTAATAAACAAACAAATATTGAGATCAAGAACATTGGGAAAGATCCTATGAATATTCCGAAATATGCTCTTTCTAGCCAAAATGTCAACAATAGGTAATTTCAACGAATAAACTAGACACTATCAATAACGTATTAAAGCGAATCCAAACATATCAAAGTAGATAAGGCATCAATGGAGTTGAAAATAAGAACAATTTTATTAGAACTCAGAATGTAATTTAAAAAAAAAAAAAACAGCTTTTAACAACTCTAAATCCGGTGGGGTTGAACAGAAGTCTATGGAATCCAAAATCAACGTGTCTTGAATTATTACCATAAAACCCATGATAATAAATTGGACCATATCCATTGAAAAGGTTTCTTAAATGAAACGGGAGAAAAGGGATATTTACTAAGAAAAATCATGGAGGGAGGGACCCACACGGCATTTCCCTTTCCAAACTTTTCCAAAATCAAATCCGTGAATAAAGAGAAATAAAGACTCATCATAAATTTGGTCAGCCTGACCACACTTCATCGTGCAACACCTCTTATCTCAAAAAATAATAACAAATAAACTAAAAAACATGGGTTTAAATACTATTTGATCCTCTACTTTACTTTCGACTTCAGTCTATCTTAATCTATGTGCTTTCAAAACGTTCATTTTGATTCTTTTGCTTTCAAAACGTTCATTTTGGTGCTTGTACTTTCAAAACGTTCGTACAAATATCAAAATGAATATTTAGAAAGTAAATGGATCAAAATAGTATTTAAACACACAAAAAAAATTAAATTAAATTAAATAAAGAAAAAAAGAAAGAAGAATAAACAGCAAACTTCTAACTTACTTCTCCAGAGAGAGAAAGAGAGCGGACAAATGGGTCACTGAAGAAGAGACCTTTTGATATCAAATCTATTTTTAAAATGAGATTAAAAAGATGCGTGCCTTTCTAAAGTATTTCATTCCCATAATCTGAAAGTTGTATTATACTACTGAGTACAGAATATATTTCATATAACAACAAAAGTAAAGGAACGAATAAATAAAAGGGGCTATGTGCAGTATACAAAAGGAGGTCATAGATACGGTGCACTGCTCCAACACTAAAGTTTCAAATAAATTAATCACACACATTGACAGAATCAATTAACAGAACAAAAATCCAACTAAAACTCCTAATATTATTTATCCTGGTATTTTGTTATAATTTATTAAACTAAATCTCAAACTTTAATAAATGATGACATTATTGTCCTCTTTTTGTCGAATTGAATGTTTTTTTGGGTAATCGAAGCTGGATAAAACACTCTGTAGCTAGACAAGTTTTTGTGGGTGCTAGTTTTAGCTGTTTGATACCGTAGTTGAATTTTAAGTGTGTTTGGAGAATTAATGTTTCGAAAATCCATCACTAGATAAAGACTTTCCTAGCTGGATGAGACTTCTAGTGGAGGAAAATTTTAGCTCGTAGTTTTTTTTAGTTCAATATGTGGTACAGATTTGAACCTTCAATCTTTAAGTTGAGTATTTACGTCTTAACCAGTTGAGCTATACTAAGGTTGACTTTTGTTTGCCCATGTAGTTGGGTTAAAAGTATTTTTGTGGGGTTATGCTTATTTTTGTACTGAAGCTCAAATGATTTGTTAGTTATTTTTCAATCCTTCTTTAACTTGATCTTGAGAGTGAATATTTCACTAGTTCAATTCAAGGTTTAACTTGATTTTGAGAGAATAGTTTTACCATACTGACTGAGTTTATGGGTAGAAAATGAATGTCTTAGAAATTCTAATGTTAAAGTTATAGAGAACAAACATATTTAATTCAAGATAAGAATGATAAAAAATATTGTAGACATTATGTATCAACAACATATGAAATAAAAAGAGATTCAAATTAACATTAAACATATCAGAAAAATACGATAAAACCCATACAAGGTTGATGCTAACTACCCAAAATGCAAATGTTATTCCTTTCAATTCTATCAAACGTTTCTCACGATCATGTCATCAGTAACTATATGTCTCCATTTTCTTCCTATTCTACTTTTCAATTATCAGATCAAATGATTCTCATGTAAAACGAGTACAACAATATAGAAAATAGCTTGAAAAAATAGCATGAGAAATACGCTCATAATTGAAGGCTTCAATTACCTTGGATCTGAATACAGTTCAATAAAAACTGCTCCACTGATCTTGCAGGCTCCTATAAGAACTAGCATGCCCCGACCATCACCAAGCGATCGACAAAAGTGGTTTATCACAGTAATCAATTCAGCTCCATATTATCAGAGATAAACAAACTAATTAGTTATTAATTTCAGGTCGTTGTCACCAGCCACTTCAAGAGGTTGAGGTTCAGTAGAGACACCTGACCTTAGAGGAGTGCAGGCAACATTTCTGACTATAGAAGAATAAAGATCAAATTCTGCCTTCAGTTTCAAACAGCTTGCTTCTATCCATTTCTCAGCCACACTGGTAGCTACACTGTCTTGGCTATCCCTCTCATATTCTTCTATGGCAGGTCGTATTTCATTGTACAACGAATCAAGTTCAGAGGTAGCTTTATTCTTCATTTCCTGCACAGAAACTTAATGAAGTATCAGCAGAGCAATAATAATGAAGCGAGCTAGAGTGTTTTCACATTAAGATGTCACACAGAAGGATATTTCTTCACCACATCCCGACAACAAAGACTATAGTAAAACGCATTTATTACCTCGTACTGTAAGACTTCTTCTTGTGCTTCCTTTAACTCTAACAGTCGAGCAACATATTTTGCATCAACTTGCTTCAGGGTAAAATTTTTCGTCCTTCCATTAGATAAGTTTCTCGACCGTTTTTTGGCCACAGGTCCAGGTCCAACACGATAATTACGGCATGCAGTATTACTTCTGATACGAGATATCATTGCATTCTGATGTGAGAAGGTCTGCTGCGTATTTTGTGGATGGTTTTCTGTCTCCTCTTTCACTTCATTTTTTATTTCACTCACAACTATACTTTGCAATGGAACTGAATTGTTTGAGGTATCAATGAATGCAGTGGATCCCAGCTGCAATTCAGCTCCCAAATTATCGTCCAAGATCATTGGGTTCTCATTTTTCAGATAACCCTCATACTCGGGATATGGGTTATTTAATGCCTTAGCGAAAGGTTCATCCTCTGCAGAATCGTACAGCGGAATTTTCTCTACTGAATACCTAAAACAAAGCAGGATGGTTAAATGCCGTCTTGTTAGAAAAGAAGCAAAGGGTATATCATAACAAAAATAAAGAAATGCCTCCATGTAGATAAGCTATGATAAAAACCAAAGGATACTAACAAAGCAACAAAGTAAAAGTAATATAATGTTTGCCAATTTAGGAATTTAATACTACTGGTGCCCCTCTGTGAATATAACTGAACATTGTCGTTAACCAAGCTAAATAATATGATCGCATTACGTTACTGATCGAGATTAAACAATATCATCAGGTCGGCCACCTACACAGGTTAAGTTATTTAGTATTTTGGGCTTCTCGACTCTAAAATGTAATATAATCAGGTTAACACCCAAACTCCAACTTCATGAATACATGAAGACCAGAGAATTTTGGGGTATTGCCTCGCAAAATCATGATAGCATTATTCTAGACATTTTTAACCACCCATACAATTAATCAACAGAAATAATTGGATCCCTTTCTTAACATTTTCCTCTGTACTTGTTCTAACTACAATCTGGCTTTAGAATGAGAAAAGTTTTTTCACTCCATGACCCACAGTCCGCCAGTACCCAAAGCTGATCTCAAACGTTGGCTATTTAGGAACAATCAAGCTTTAAAAAGTGGTGGAGTGGTGAATAACATGGTTGAAGAGGCATAGAAAAGGCTTTACCTATCATCGTCATCTTCCCACAAATAAGTATCCTCCTGGCAAAGAAAACAATTGATGTACATCAGAACATATAAAAGAAAGAAAATAGTTTTGCAAGGAAAACAGATTATCCAATTTGTGATGAATATACACCCTCTCGCCTGAAGAGGGGTCCAGAAACAGGTGAAATTGCTAGTTCAATGTGATATCACCATGGCACATGACTAAACATTCACACTGCTCTTAGTGTCCAGAAATTTTATATTAATTATTTAAAATAAAAAATAAAAATAAAAACTTCTCTACAAATCAAAGGTTACCAGGAAGCCACGAGACTTGGCTCCAAGGAATCCTGAACAGCTGCTTGCACCACAGAGGCAACGAACTTTGGCACCTCCATACCATTCGAAATTATAATCATATGCCAATTCAGTCCCAATGGAAATGTCTTGCTTTGCAAATATTCCAACCCTTATTTCACCCAACGCATTCCACTTCCTCGTCTCACAATTTGGGCAGCTGCAAGCTTATAATAAATAATTGACAACACTGACTAAGTAATGAAAAGTAAATTTTGTTTACTGGCATACTCTCTCGCTTTTTCTATTTTATAAATATATACATATACATATATTATGTAATATTCGGCATGACTCACCATGAATGATTTATAAATCTAGCAAGACTTCCCTTTCTAGTGGCATCTATTGATTCAGAGGCATTGAGCGAGATGATGAAAGCATCCTTGAGTCCTACCATCAAGGCATAGAAAATGATGACCTAAATTTATTGTATAGTGCATCAGAGATATAATTTTGATAGAAGTGATATATTACCCTGGTTTTCATACGCATGGGATCTTCGTTTCGCTTCTTTCCAAGATATAACTTCCCCACAATATTCAATAATAAATTGTCCTGCCTACATTGTGTCCCCACAAAACAAAAAGAAAAGAAACACAATCTTTAGAGAACGAAATTCAATTATGTCCTATTGCCGCCACAAGAATGCTTCTGCAGCAAGGAATCTAATAAATCTGATGTTACTCTGTTGCACAGGATTAGGAAAGTACATATAAATAATAGAACTTCAAGATCCCATACTATTGATACTGAAATCAAGTTGGCAAGTTTCATCTTGGTTGACTACTATTAAAGATCATCAACTACATCTTTTTTTAGAACAAAACTAATCGTTTGCTAATATATGAAATGTACAAAAACAGTGGGTTGATAACCCAAAAACCAATAATAGAGGTAACAAAAAGCTATCCTAATGTCGACTCAGGAATAAATAAATTTGTCTAATCGACTACATCTTAGAACGCTGATGAAAATCATCAGTCTAATCACATTGTCAAGGCGGCAAATAAAGATGCACAGCATATCAGCAGAGGAAAACCGAAGAACAATAAATATCCAATAAGATATTTAAGGAATACATCTATCTACTTTGACAATTAAATACCTTTATATCCTCATCAGCTATAAGGCCCCACCCACGACCTCCAGTTTTGAACAACTTTGTTCTCGCATACTCACATTTCTGAAATCTCTGTTGCATATTGGGAATTGAAGGATAATGTAGTTTAGCTAAACAAATCAAGGATGCAAGTCATCATTCTAAACTCGTTCCAAGCACATAATAACAAATGTTTGCAATTATAGACTAACTGGAAAACTAATTAAATAAATAAACAACACATGTAATCTGTTGCATGGACGATTGACAGAGAGTTCTCTAAAGAATATAGAAGAAGGCCCCGCAAATTTACTTCAAATAAGAATGACAAATCAAATTTCAAAGAAATCGTTAAGGAAAAAAGAAAAAGAAAAGAGAAACAGCATCCTTGAGTCAAAAATCAAAAAAAAAAAAAAATTATAGGAAGAAAATCAAATTTAATCAAACACATCAAATAAAGTGTACAGTACCATATAATGAAGATTGAGTACAATCAAAGAAATAAATTGTATTAGTAATATATTATATACGGGTAAATTATAAAGTAGCCTCATGATAACCTGATTTCTGCAATGAACACCACAGGGACAATAACCAGGAGTACACTCAGTGCTGGTTAGTACATTCAAGCACCCCTCTCCACAAGCACTATCAGGATCATTTTCGTCAAATTTGCAGTCACAAACTGCAATATCCTCCTCCTTCTGCTTCTTATGTCTAAGAAAAAACCCAGTCAAAATTCATAAAATCTACAATAGAACTTTTGTTTATACAAGTATTTCATTGAAATGATGAAATATACAGAAAAGAGGGAGGAACTTAACAAGGCAATCAATCATCAAAAGGAACTTAATAAGGAATGCACCAAAGAATAAGGAACTTAATAATGAATGCGCCAAAGTATATTTGATGAAGAGATGGTGTTCAGTTTTATTGTGCACAAATTTGGTGGTGGGTGCTACTAGGATTTCATTTTTCAGCTTTATCATGGGTATTAGACCGCCCATCAAAAACTTCCATAGAAGAAATTTCACTCTTTTGGAAAAGAATCCTTCCAAACTATTTGCAAAGATTATAATTGAGGGTTTGAGAGACCGTAGTGATATCTTTCAGCAAGGACTTGCAACTGAAGGTACCCATGGGATCACTCATCCAAAGCAATTCATCTTGAAAGGGGGTAAGAAATAAATTTTTGAGAAATCCATAAGAGATTCATGCGTGATCTCCAAGTCCTTTGTGCTTCTTCAGGGTAAATCCCAAGATGAGGAGGATGCCTACCAAATTTGACTGAGAGATTTTACTTGTTGGAAATCGCATAGATTCTTGAAACTTGGTAAAGAGCATCATTTACTTTAGAAACATCCTCCTAGAATCTAACGTAATCACCATTACCCACCGGCAACTCCAGTCTAGCACCCAAAAGATGATTTCAAAGATGTCCTTCCAAGAGCCTAGAGAGTATTTGATAGCAGCTTGGTTAGTCCACCAATCTACCTTTGAAACTCAGTATTTAGCATCTTTTTCACAAGCAAACCCTTTTCTAATAAGAAATGAGAGCTTTCTATTCCAAAGATGAAAAGCACAAAAGGAAGACCTAAACAGAGAAGGTTGCAAAAATGTGATCCAATAGGTATTAATTAAAACCAACAAAAAAAAGCTGTAATAACAAAATGAAAAGAAAATAGTACCCTAAAAAGAAGCAAGATGTATGGTATCTTAAAGTTCAGTCCATTCACGAGCTCCATTCTAGCATCCCTTTCCTCCAATTTTAAATGACAACCTTGGATTAACAGAACCCAAAGGCCATACCTCCAAAGCCACTTTACCAAAGAGAGTGAATCTTGTTATAGAGATTTCCAATGCTGAAACAACCAGAACGAATTGCTTGCTCTACCCTGTTCCAACTAACCAGATGAGAGAGTCCTTCCTTGTTATGACTTGCCCAGTAGAAACTCAAATCTTTCAGTAGCAGAAGCCACTTTGGACATCAAAAAGTAACATAAAAAAAAGTAGGAAGGATGAGAGTCAATCTACCACATTTTAAGAAAATCAATCTTTTCTGATTTGAAGCTTGTTTGACAACAACAGGAGTCCAGAAAATGATGCTCTTTGGATTAACGTCAAGGGGGAGATCAAGATAGGAGGTAGGCCAAGTTTCAACACTGCAATCTGCAATAGAAGCCTACTCTTTAACTCCAATAACTTCACAATTGATGCCCATAATCTCTACACAAGTTGCCATTCAGCCACAAGAATAGCTGAAAAAACTTTATAATCTTGAGAAGACTGAAAGAAGTTTGTCCCTTGAGGTTGGTGAGAAAAGAGTTGTCTTTGAATAGAGATGGTTGATGTTAAAGTTACTTTGTCCCATCCCACTTAAGAAAAAATGCATTCAAGAATATAGAATAAAACTCATGAAAATATGCATTTGAACATATAAAATATTGAAAGGATGGAGATGATGAAAATAATCAAAATATCTTACTTGCGATAACAGAATTCATTTTGTTTGATATCTTTGTAATGTGGCAGCCCTTCAATATTTTGATCCTTCAAACACAATAAAACTTTTATTAACCTTTGTAAAGTTCCACACCATGAAGAAAGATGAACCCGTACATAAATCAATGCCTCATTTCCATGAAATGTTGAAGGAAAAGATAACAAACAACATCAATGAAAAGTCTTAGCCTCACTGCTAGAAGGGGTAAAATATGTTAAAATTAATGTGGCAAATATATGGGTCAAATTTAAGAGAAGACCCAACCAATTCATTGTTAGATAGATTTCTTGCATCTTTTTTTTTTTTGGGATAAAGAAACGATTCATTAATAAAGAACAAAAGAACAGCCTACGGACAGGGGCTGAGACGGCCCCTTCCCAAGATCTCTTGTGTCTCAAAATAAAGTAACCAAATTTCAAGATCAGGTGCAATGAAGAAAATTAGGATAACATCTGATCTAACCACCGTCCAGTAGTCCTTGAGATAGATAAAGGTTTGGCAACATTCTCATTCAAATTAGATAAAATTTAGGTGAAGCACCTATAGTTCAATAAATTGGCGGAGTCTTGACAGGCAGGAGATGAAATTGGTTTCATCCTAGATTTAAACTCATCAGAAACTAAGAGGATTGGAAGGGGCTACTAAAGATGGGGGTAGGAAGTATTGGTAACTACAGACAAAATGAGGAAGGATTGGAAAATCATATTCATTATTACTGATAATACTAATAATAAAGAGGAGGGGGGCTGTTCGAGACAAGGTGATGGAGAGAAGAAAACAAATGAAGTGCCCATTGTAAGATGTCATCCAGAAGGAAGAACAAATATATTTTCACCAATCTAATATGAGAGTGGTTTAGGAAAGGGATGCAAACACAACATTTTTTCGCATAATGTTAGCACCCAGGAGGAGGAGAAATTTTATTTCAGAAATGTAGTATAGTAGTGGTAATAGTTTGGTCACGTGAATGAAAAATGGATAAGAGATAGATGGTTAATAATTATATACTTCAGTAAACTATATACCATATACAGTTTGAGCTTGTTCATGCCAGAACGTCCAGGATGAAATTGAATTTCAGATAAAGATGGGCAATGGCTAGGAAAAGATGGATTCATGGGAGAATTCTTTTTAAAATTCTGGAACATAATCAAAGGTGACGTCATGGAGATATTCCAGAAATTTTTTTTTTTTTTTAAGAAAGGACATCTTAATGGCTGCGCCAAAGAGAATTGTATTTGATTAATTCCAAATAAATAGATGGTTGTGAGGGTACGAGACTTCCATTGGATCATTTGACCATTTTATAAGAACCATTTTAAGGTTATTGAACACAGACCAAGCAAGGTGTTTCATGGAACAGTATCTCGTCTTTCATTATTGAAATTTCTTTTGGAGCAGGTTTTTGTTTTCATTGGTATCTTACTTAAGAGTTAGATTCATCGTCCATCACTTTGTTTTTCTGCGTCCATTTATTGCAATTCTTTTGCTATGAGATGAGCAGAGTGGTGCTCTGTGTTTGATCCAAATACAGAAACTAAAATGTCATCATGAACAAAAGCTCAAAGTGGATGGAATTTATTGATCGAAAATCCAAGAGTGCTTATCAACTACGAAGACACTGATACAACGTGAAGACTAAATAAAATATCTTAAAGCATTAGAAAGTATCAATCAGCAATGAGAATCAACTGACCATGGAGAGATTCTAAATCTGGAATCATCAAGGTTCTCCCAAGACCATATTCTTCATCTGCCACATTGGATGCATGCACAAAGCGTTGAATTAACCATATAACAGAATCTAAATCCAAATAGAATAATATGTCTACTGGAGACAATTTCTTTCTACCATTCCCTTTCAACATAATAAACTCGTCTTCTAGCTTACAAAAATAGGTCTTTAAATTTAGTGTAGTTACAATTTCCAGTTCCATGTGATCTCCATTTAATTTCCTCTTCATCGTGCATATGTAGGCACTTCTCACATTTTCCTGGTAAATACGAACTTCTATGGCACATCCGAGGGAAAATCTATCTTTATTGATAACCTTCAAGCTTATAAAATGAAAACAAAGAAAAGTATTGTACAAATTGCAGGATTAAATTACAAATTTGGTCCCTATGGTTTTATCCAAGTTGCAAATTAGTCTCTATAGTTTTAAAAGTTTCAATTTGCACTCTATGATTTGAAATTAGTTTCAAAATTGGTTCCTATGTTCTAAATGTTTCAATTTCGTCTCTACGGTAGGGTCAAACCTCACCAGTCGTCCCTACTGTTACTAACGTAGCAAGTTGTCTATTTATGTGGTAATGAGTTAGTGTTTTCTATTTGGCTTATTTTGTTACTGTTATCTTACTATATTAGGGTTTAGGCTAGGTAAAAATTAGGAGAACAATAGTGAGTTTTCTAGTGCGGAAAATTTTTAGGGATGATTTGTGAAGTTTAACCAAATCATAGAGGCCAAATTGAAACATTTAAAACTATAAGAACCAATTCGAAACTAAACTAAAACCATATCGACCAATTTGATAATTTAACCAAGACAGAAATAGAGGTGAGAAAATTATACGATTTAACTTGCAACCAGATCACAAATATGAAGTTCTAATTAATGAAATTGAAATTTTATGAACCAATTTTGGGAGTAATTTTATCCTTTTTCAATTGTTCAGCTGGCTAAACTTGTAAAATAGCTTAAACTTACGAGTTTTTCAGCAGTAACCTGAAGTTTCGGATTCAACTGTCATATGAGTTGGGAAATCAAAGAAATGTAGAGAGGATCTGTCGCTGAAACCTTCCCTTTTTTAGACAGTGGAGGTAATTCAGTTGCCTATAACCAGTCAATGTGAAATGCAGCAGTCTGCACAGAACATTATGTTTGTATCCAAAAATGTTGTAGAAAGACATGAAGCGCCAAATCTCACGCAGAAGAATGATCGATAATAACAGAGGATTGATAATTACATGCGACGAACAATTCCTCTACTGCAGAAAATTCGAAGAGAACAAACAAATATTGCGAAAACATTATGAAGAGAAACAAAAATAGAGACGAACCTTTCGGATCGTGGGGAGCGGATTCAGCGCGGTAGGGCTTTCGGCGCGCGCGCGGGTGAAATCGATGAGTGAGCTCAGTGAGGTGATTTTCATTCTCTCTCTTTCTCTTGCCACCTAATTGTTTTTTTTTTTTTTCTCTTTTTTTTCCTTCCATTATTACAATTCAGATATGATGATTCCAACTTGGAATTGAGATTACTCAATTTGAACCTGCATATAGAATTTTACGTGTAAATTTATGCCAACGCAGGTAATGGGCAATTACTCATTTATCTGAAATTACTATATCTATCATTTTATATTTTTAAATAACTTTTAACAAATTTTATCCCTTAACTATTATCTAGTGAACGATAATTGACATATATCTCAAATTACGAGGTTATGAATTCGATCATCCATCCTCACATGTTGTACTAAAAATATATATATAAAAAGTAGTTACCTCTCTCTTAGATTCATGCATGTGTTCGTTTTTTCTAGTTAGTTACCTATGCATGCACATCCATCCATTTGACTATATATATTTCTTTTTCTTTTTTTTTTGTTGACTTTAGTTTAAGGAAATGGTTGAGAAATACAAATCTCCATATCAAATATAAATATATTGGTTTTAGTTCAATAAAATGATTGAAAAATACAAATCTACATGTTAGATGTTTGACTCTAGATAAATTTGAAAACAAAATTGACATCTTATGCATGTAGTCACATTGAGGTTGGAACTAATTCTCGTAAAAATATTCTATTAGTATGAGAATGCATTTTCAAGTTGTGAACCCTATTTTAGTATAGCTGAGTGATATTGAGTGATATTTGAGATCGAATGTTGAATATATATGTTTATCTAAACTATATAATAAAATTTTCAATAATAATTCTTTTTTATACAACACATGGGGGTGGGAGGATCGAGCTCACAATATTGTGGTTAGAGATATATGTAAATTACTGTCAATCTATTGTTGATGCTGGAATTCTGGTAGACCGATTCTCTCCGCTTCACGCACCAACTCAAGTACTTCATGACCGAATACCTGCAAAACCGAACAAAAATCCTAACCCGGTGTGACTTTAGTCACATAAGTTAGCAAAAGGAGAGATTACTTAAACGAGCAAGAGACTTGATGGTGTAGTCTTGACTTACCTTCAAGGGGTGACTCCCTCTCCATTTATAATCGTCTCGCCCCTTAGGGTTTCTCATGATGTCAACCCTATGTTTGATGTTTGTGGACTTTGGGCTGGGATACCTCCAACGT